GGATGCGACGCATTTGAGGGAGTGATGTCCCAATCGATCACATCGATTCCTGTCGTCCCACTTCTCTCTTTCTCTCTACCTCTTTTCCCTCGTCCCTCATCTCCCTTCTCCCTCTTTCTCCCTCTCGTCTCTCCTTCTTCAGCCCTCGCTCTCTTGTTGTTTACCTCTCACTGCTCTAACTGAGGCTACACCCCTCGTGCCTAGCCATCACGAGTCTGATCACACCTCCTCCCTCTGGTTGTGCATTGTTTCGCATTTGCTTTGATGTCGGTGCTGGTTTCTGCTTTCTCGCTAGTCTTCACGTCTGCTCACGCTCTCTGCTCGCCCCACGCCCGTTTTTCATTACCCCAACTCCCTTTCAGCTAGGTGCGCTACGCTAGAGCTTACGGTTTGCACACTTGCGGTTCGTTCGCTGCCCAACTGCTCTGCATCTGCTTCCCTTGCTTTCCCTTCGAGATTGTGTCTCGCTGCCGACTTTGTCCTCGTTGCACCACCTCTACGGTCGGGGCGTGCTCAGTCTTCTCCGTGCTCCTACCCCTATCCCTATATCCTGCCCAAATTCAGACATCAAGCCTCTCAATTCTTATCGGTGGCTTCTTTGGAGTTCATACAAGGTAAGTCATAATAAACAATATTAAACATATGAATCTGCCATATATCTCAGGCAGAGTCATCAATTTTCTTTTGAGTTTTTACCAGTATGAAAAGGGAAGGATCAGCGGGACGTTAAAATGGATAATCGTGAGAGTAAAAAAAAAAAAAAAAAAGATGGCGCCGTTGGTGGGCTGCATTTTCCTCTCGAACAAGACCGGATCCACCTAATCTTGGGAAAGAAAAGGAAGAAAAATCAAATTCAACGAAATCTAACCTTCACTTTCCCTGCTAGGCCAACTCTCAGCGGGGAATCTAACTTTTAGCAGTTCCAACTACTCCTAATCAGATGGTCGCGGGATCGAGTCCCACTCCCTGTGCATAAGTTGAAACTGGATGCATGTTCGGAGCTAGCCCAACGGTCGGGCAGGGATTTGTTCCCTAAACTTTCGCCTTGTAATTTGAATCCATTACCTGCTGGGCTAGCTCCTGCTTTGGTTGTGAAGCAGGGCAACAAGCCTTATGTACAGCTTTATTGGACCTTTGTGCCAAGGAAATCTACTTAGCCTCGTTTTCTCATTCTTTCCTGCTTGAGTTACCCCGACAGTGTGGTCTGTGTCTTTATTAATTTCAACCCCCTCCGCACGCGGTGGATGAATCGTCTGATAAGTGTGCTTGTGTTCCATTTATCCTAATCATCCCGACCTCAAGGTCGGGTGCCATCATATGGAGATTTCAAGACGTCCTCGAGCTCTAGGCCCATCGGCATCCTATGTCCTGAACATATTTTTATGGAGCCGTCAGTTCATTTTGCCCCCTTCGACCTTTGTGGTCAGAGGGGTTTCTGCGTGTTGCGCTGAGGCGCGCGTTCAATGTCTTGGGTTCGACCATCCTTCCTTTTTCCTTTTCTTAAGTTGACCTCCTTGACTCTGGTGGTCGAAGGGGGTATCCTAATTATTTTAGCATGCAGCGTGTCAGTGCGCACCATCATGGCGACCGACGCCGTGGTCGTGTCAACTGTAAAAATGAGGGCAAATACCCTTGTAAGGGTATTAGCCCTGATATTTGCCCCGGCATCGCTCCTGTCAGGGAAAAGACTAAGGGGGCCGGAAAACAAAAGGCAGGTCGGCCCTAAGGTTAATATGACCAAGGAACACCCATATGGGTGAAGCTTGCTCTAGAGAACGAGGTCTGGCGAGACCACGTTGCACGAGGCGCTTGCCTGAACTGTGGCCAATATGGTCACACCATGACTAAGTGCAAGACTAAGCGGGTCACCACGAGGGTCGCGTCCTCAATAGTGACGGTCGGATCTTCAAACTCTGGTGGTGCTTCTGCGAGCACTTCACAGGGAAACACCTCGGGTCAAAAGGAGTGTTAGCGACTCTTCCTCGTGCTGAAGTGGTAACCTTACCTTCTCCATTTCAGACGAAGGCCAAGGCAATTGACCCATTGATCACCCCGCAGACAGATCTGGATCAATCGATGCTTTGTCCAATGGATGTGTCTGAGTCCTTAGAGGAGTTAGAAACTGAGTGGTTAGAGAAAGACCCTAGAGACTCCTGGGTGATGTCGAAGAAAGGTCCAAAAGGTGAACACTTCATGGTAGAAGTCAATATAGGTGGCCGAAAGGTTGGCGCCTTTGCAGACATAGGTTCTACGTGAAACTTCATCAGTCGTGCTTGTGTGGATAGGCTGCGCTTAGGGGACCAAGTGCAGCGACTTAGCAAATATGTGGCATCTACCTTAGCCAGCAAGCACTTTATGGTAGTAAAGGACTACGTCAAGGACGTAGTCTGCACATTCTCTTATGGAGGAGGGGAACTGAGACATAAAATCTCATTCCTTCTTAGCAACAAGCTGCCATTCGATATGTTACTAGACATGTACAACCTCGAGGTTGGTAAGCCTCAGTTCGATTGGGATAGGAAGGTGATGATCCACAAGTTGCGAGATGGAAGAACCGTTAGACTGCAAAAGTTTAAGACTACCAGACTAGTGGAGAACTACGGTTGCATGTGCGTGCCGTCTTTCCATAACTGCTACAAGCAAAATCGCAAGGAAGGCATGTACTTAGTCTTTGTCTCTGAGAAAGGGGAGGCCGTAAAATCACCCCCAGAGATAGAAGCAGTCATTGCACAGTATTCACAGACCTTTTCGTGGAGCCTAGGGGTGTGGTGGAAAGGGAGATTGTCCATGCAATAAAAGTCGTCCCTGGTAGCGAAGTACCTAGAGGACAAATCTATAGGATGTTTCCTGCGGAGTTAGATGAGATCCGTCGCCAGCTCAAGGAGCTCACAGAGAAGGGTTAGATTCGGCCAAGTACGTCCCCCTACGGAGCGCCAGTTCTATTTGTCTCAAAGACAGGGGGGACCCTAAGGTTGTGCATTGATTATAGGGGCCTCAATGCCATCACCGTTAAGAACGTGGGACCCCTACGACGCATTAACGACCTCTTCGATAGAGTGCATGGATGCTGGTACTTTACTAAGATAGACTTGAAGTCCGGATACCATAAGATTGCAATTAGACTTGAGGACCAGCACAAAACCGCCTTTCAAACCAGGTACGGTCTGTACGAGCTTGTGGTGATGCCCTTTGGTCTATGCAATGCTCCTGGAACATTCCAGCATGCGATGAACAAGATCTTTCATGACTACTTAGACAAGTTTATCATCGTGTACCTCGACAATATTCTTATCCTTAGTAAGACTGTAGAGGAGCACGTTGAGCACGTGAAAACAGTGTTGGGGCTCCTAAGACAGCACCGGTACAAGGTTAACTTGGAGAAATGAGAATTTGGTCGCACCAAGATCTTGTATGTGCGTCATGAGATTTTCGCGGATGGTTTGAGGTCGGACGATACTAAAGTGGCCAGCATACGTGATTGGCCCAGACCTCAGTTTGTGATTGAGGTGAGGTTATTCTTGCGGATGACAAACTATTATCGTCCGTTTGTGAAAAATTACAGCACAATAGCCTCCCCACTAACTGACCCTACATGCCTTGACACCCCTTGGGAGTGGACCGAAGAGTGTGAGGAAGCCTTCAAGAGATTGAAGTATGCCCCTACGCACTACGAAGTCCTCAAGCTTCCACATCCTGAACAACCCTTTGTTGTGGCCACAGACGCCAGCCAATATAGCATAGGCGCGGTGTCAGAGGGCGCGGTGTCCCGGCCCTCCTTTGTGTACCAGGTCCTCGCTTAGTGTCAGTCCCTTGTCACTGCCTACTGCTCCCTAGGCTCATCTCGTGCTGTAGGTCTGGTACCTGGACTGTTCTCGGCGCGGACCGGTCCCGGTGGCGTAGCCCTCAGCAAAAGGGGTGCGCCACAGGACTTCCATTGGTCCACGCAGGCTCGGCGCCCTGCTGTACAGCAGAGCACTACCGGCCTGTGGCCGTGGTAACCGCCGAGTTCGCCCTGGGACGCGGAGGTGAAAAGACCGGCTCAGCCTTTTCTACTGCGCACCAAATGCCCTCTAACCAGGTTATGGGTTAGGTGCACAGAGCAGAAGTCATTGTCAAAAAAAGAGAGAAAAAGAAAAAAATAAAAGGCCGAATTTGAACTCGCTTCTAGTTTGGGGAAAATCCAGTGGTTTTCGACCACTATGATGTTACAATTTTCCTTACCTTTTTCTGATTTTGCTGCTATTATTATTATTATTGTTACTTAATTTTTTTGTATCAATTTTCTCCTGTTGGCCTGTCATTTCGCGGGAAGGCCAACGGCTAGAATTCTGAGTTCGGGCGGTGGTAGTGCGGCCTGGGCAGGCCAAACCCTTCGTGTATCACCTGTACTGGGTCTGCGCATCTAAACTCCGCGCGGCGGGACCCCAAAAGAAGGGCGACCTGCGGCCGCATTTGTAGGGAGCCTATCACCCCCGAAGAAGGGTCATAAGCCCCCTCCTTGCCATCGGACATGGGTACCCGACGGGTATAGGCCGAAATTGTATTTTAAAAAAGGGAATGTGATCGCTCGTATCCCGTTATGGGACCATCACCTCAGAATAGCAGTCCTTTTTCAGTGAGACGAAGCGACTGGGACCGATAGCAGAAGGCCTGTGGATATCGCGGCCATAAGTTCTTTTTTTTTCTTTTCTTTTCTTTGGTTTCCTTTTATGAAAAATCACAGTTTTAAAATTATTCTGTTTACTTTCGAATTTTTACTGAGTCTTGAAGCTTTTCGTTTAGAGCACACCAGGGTCGCACCCGCCTGTAACTCTATAAAACAGAGGCTGCCCCTGGGTCTTGAAGCAAATGCGTGAGGGGAGTGTTATCACTCCTCGAGGGTGAGTGGTGGTATTGCGCGGAAGCCTTGATTCCAGGCACTCTGGATTCAGCCTGGCTAAGTACTTCTGCGAACAGGGATAGTGCGGACTGGGCACTGGCGCTGGCTATTGATAAAGAGTGGCTATGGCGCTGCATGGGTACAGGCCCGGGTACTGGTATCACCAGGCCCGCTGGAAGCCCATGTCTAGGGAAGGGCCCTGGATCACAGTCATGCTCAACTATGATGGGGGTGATGAAGTGAGAATGAAGATTAACGTGGAAGGGGCAAAAGAGGTGGAGATGCGGATTGATGGGAAACTGCAGGATGCGATCACGGAGGCGAAAGACCGTGCGGAGAGGCGCTGCAGGAGGGACCAAGTGACTGCAAGGTTGCAGGTAACGGTCTCGTATCATGAGACCGAGACCTCAATGGACACAGCGGACCTGGAACAGTCCCACGTGGACAGGGACTCAGGTGGTGAGAGTGAAATGAGCGAAGCGGGAGACCGGGAGACAGATCTCAGATCCTGGAATAGACCAGGCGAGATCCAGAGGCATCACCGGGCCGCGGAGCCAGTGGAAGAGGGACCCGAGGCCAGCTCTCGGCAGCTGACACCCAGAGGCCGTGGGACGGGTGAAAGGCCGATCAAGGGGAAAAGACAGCTCTGAGAAAAAGGCAGACACGGTGTCGAGCCCCCACTGCTCCAAGGGTTTGGTTAGACGTCCTTCCCCGGCCCGAGCTCAGTGGGTTGGAGGACTTGCAGGCTGTCACGCAGGATTTTGACAAGTTTAAAATAGAGGTGTATTCAGAGTCAGTCTTTGTCACACTTAGTCATACAGCCGAGTAGTCAGGGTTATCCCTCCTGCCAGCGGCGACACGGCTTAGAGTAAGGCGTTCGGGTTTATCGCCTGCACCTAACCCCGTATAAAGGTTAGACCCAAGGTCACCGGAGTCCCTATCATCCAGGAGTCCTTCAAGCTGCCTTGAGTGTAACCTGTATAAAATAAGGAGGAAAATAACAAACATGCATCATAGAGCAATTGATAGAAAGAGAAAACCAGAAACCAGACTCTGCAAGAGCATGACCAGAGATACAAGACTGAAGAGTAGTACACAGAGTATGCAGGGAGCAGCCATCGGAGGGCTGCAGTCACTAATAAATAATAACGTCGTAATACATCATAGTGACTGAAAAGAGAGAACCTCAATCAATGATAATAAGCGGTACCCCCTCGTGAGTAGGTGCTGCCGTCTAGGACTCCATATCTGGCGCCTCGTCATTGAGAACCCGCGTGGCTATAGACTCTGGAACCACATAGCTGATATCGAGAGGCGCTGCTGGATCAATCTTGCAGATATAGGCCATGCATCTCGCCATCTCCTCGTCTGCGACACTCCTGAGATAAGGCTCCTCCGCAAGAGTGATGTCACCTGAAGCTCCAATCAGTATCTCAATCCATCCTCTCCCACCAGAGTAGATGTAGGAAACCTCCAGAAAGCGATCTCCGTAAAGAGGCTTCCGAAAAGCCTGCATAGCAAAGTCCGTCCCAACCAAATGACTGTAGCCATCTCCGAGATATGGGACCGGTCCCTTCCCTCTTGGGGGACCAATAACTGTCTCGGGCCTAGGGTCGTCTGACATGCAGGAGTCAATCACCCTCAAGTAGGTACCGCGCGAGAAGATATGCCATCCTCCTCAATGTCGCTCTCCGCCGTCGCCGCTCACCGGTCTCCAGCGCTCCTATCACTGTCCACAAACTCAGCCTCTGTGAGTGTCCCAGTCGAAATAGTCACCAAGATCAACGTCACTCACAGAGCAGGGCTCCAAGTCCGACTCATCTGTCTCTGATCTCTGTACGCATGTGGTGATTGGGACCCCGGATCTGGCTATCTCTCTCCGGATCCGGTCGTCCTTCCGCCTCTTCTCCTTGCTGCGGGACTCACTAAGGGGCTTGGGGTTGCATCCGTCAAAATCAAAGAGCACACCCCCAGGTGCTGAAGGTACGCGAGGGAACACCACGTGTAGTCAGTTGTCCCTCCAATAGCTCTCCCTGCGAAATATATAATCCGCAATCCTGTCGTATGTGGTGCCCTTCACTCCTGTCTCTGCCCCTTTCACCGAGTAGGTGATCACGAGCGTGCGTCTCGAGCTCGAGGACTCGTTACCCCTGATAGTGAAACTCTGATGTCCCACATGCCTGTAGCAGAACCTCTCAATCAATCTACCCCACGTAGGGGCAGTCTCACGACGACGGGCCAGCTTGGATGGAAGGTGCACTCTCACTAATGCAAATACCCCCTCCAAGACCTGGCCAGATAGCAATCAGCAACTCAATGTGGAGGCCTGTTTGAATGGCCTAACTGAACAGCAACTCGATATAGGGCCCGCCTGAATGGGCCCGACTGAACAGCAACTCAATATAAAGCCCGCCTGAATGGGCCCGGCTGAGCAGCAGCTATCTCAGGAGAAAGGGCCCGCCTGAAGGGGCCTGGCTGAAAACTGCAACAATCTCGAATGGGCCAGCCTGAAGGGGCCCGACTCAACAGCAACAATCTTATGTAGGCCCGCTTGAAGGGGCTCGGCTGAACAGCAACAATCTCAAATAGGCCCGCCTGAAGGGCCCGTCTGAACAGCAACTGATCAGTAAAACATCTCATGCACAGGGACCAGTCGTAAATGCTGAATGTACTGGGGCTAGACTGAGCCAGGTCGTCTATGCAGGGACTGAACTGCCAATGCTCCCCGTGCGAGGGAAAATATCACGTGCATGAGGTGTTGCTGATCAGCAAGGAAATAAATCAACGGGAGCGTGATGGCAAATCATCTCAGCTAGCAATCCTATGCTCGGGCGCACAAGGGTTCGCACTCAAACGACAATATCCAGCCTGGGCGCACACATATCTAACGCAAGTGCACATGGGCGCGCACTCAAATAACGATATCCAGCCTGGGGCACATGGGCGCACACTCTAACTGCAATACCAAGCTTGGGCGCGCATGGGCGCGCACTCTAACTACAATGCCAAGCTTGGGCGCGCATGGGCGCTCGCTCTAACTGAAATACCAAGCTTGGGAGCGCACGGGCGCGCACTCTAACTGCAATACCAAGCTTGAGCGCGCACGGGCGCGCACTCTAAATGAAATACCAAGCTTGGGCGCGCACGGGCGCGCACTCTAACTGCAATGCCAAGCTTGGGCGCGCATGGGCGCGCACTCTAACTGCAATACCAAGCTTGGGCGTGCATGGGCGCGCACTCTAACTGCAATACCAAGCTTGGACGCGTATGGGTGCGCACTCTAACTGCAATACCAAGCTTGGGCGCGCATGGGTGCGCACTCTAACTGCTATACCAAGCTTGGGCGCGCACTCAAAATATAATATCTGGTCCGGGTGCGAGCGGGCGCACACTTAAAATAATATCTGGTCTAGGCGCGTGCGGGCGCACACTTATAATATCTGGTCTGGGCGCGTGCGAGCGCGCACTTAAAACATAATATCTGGTCTGGGCGCATGCGGGCGCACACTTAAAATATAACATCTGGTCTGGGCGCTCAATCTGTTGATCAAATGATAACTGAATATGCTTCTGCTTGCAACTTCGATGATCAATCAAACAGGATAATTACTTGGCCTTCTCTTCGGGCCAGACCGCTATTGTCATTAAATGAGAGTTGGTCAACAGAGCGTGCGCAGACTCAAAATCAGCTATTTACTAAATACTCAGTTGATATGGATACCGGCGCTTCTGGTTCGAAATCGGCCATGCATGACCCTCAGTCACGGTGCGAAACAGCGCACAGAAATGGCCCTCAGTCATGGTGCACAACAGCGCACAGTTGTGAACAACATAAATTGTTCTCAGTCACGGTGCGCAGAGGCGTACAGTCGCAAATAGCACAAAGCTCAGAAACGGCCCTCAATCAAGGTGCGCAATCAGCGCACAGTTGCGAATAGCACAAGGCTCAGAAATGGCCCTCAACCAAGGTGCGCACTCAGCGCACAGTTGTGAATAGCACAAGGCTCAGAAATGACCCTCAACCAAGGTGCGCACTCAGCGCACAGCACAAAGCTCAAAAATGGCCCTCAAGTACGGTGTGCACACTGCGCACAGTTGCGGAATGCTCAGATATGGTCCTCAAGTACGGTGCGCACACTGCGCACTGTTGCGAAACTGCGAAATACTCAGATGTGGCCCTCAAGTATGGTGCGCACACTGCGCACAGTGGCAAACTGCGAAATACTCAGACGTGGCCCTCAAGTATGGTGCGTACACTGCGCACAGTTGCAAACTCAGATATGGCCCTCACGTATGGTGCGCACGCTGCGCACAGTTGCAAATAACACAAAGTTCAGAAAATGGCCCTTGCGAATAGCACAATGTTCAGAAATAGCACAATGGCCCTGGCTCTTGTGAATAGCACAATGGCCTTTGCGAATAGCAGGATGTTCAGAAATAGCCCTTGAGTACGGTGCGCTCTCTGCGCAGTTGCGAAATGCTCAGATATGGTCCTCATGTGCGGTGCGCACTCTCTGATATAGTGCGTGCTGGCGCACAATTGCAAACATGAAAATGTCAACTACAGTGCGTGCTTGCACGCACAGTTCCAAACTTGAGAAGATGTCAACTGCAGTGCGCGCCTGCACACACGGTCTCATATAATTCAGATACAGCTATCAGACAGGGTGCATGCGGGCTCACAGATCAAGTATGGTGTGAGCAGACTCGCAACCCAAACACCACTCTCAAAGCAAGTATGGAATATAGCCCTCATGTATGGCGTGCATTCGGCACACCGTTGTGAACTGCGCAAAATCCAGACATGGTCCTCGGTATTCATAATCGGCCTGATTTTCAAGTGACTGCGCAGGCAGTCTTGACTGGATATTCGGTGTGATTGCGCAGGCAACACCACACCAATCAGAAAGTGCAATGTCGTACTTGAACTGAAGTGCGCACAACTCCAATTCTCCAAAATCATGAATATGCAGGCCTACACTTATTGCAGTTTGGACGCGCAGTGTCGCATTCTGAGTGCGCACAGTCGTCGGGGCACTAGGTAAATAGATTGGCAAACTTCAGTTGAGTGCCTCCTGGCACAACCAATCAGGCTTAATTCAAGTGCCTTCTTGGCACAATTAACACACTCACTTTGATCACTTCTCGACACAGACTGTTAATCTGCAGACTATCAACACTTAGTTTGAGTGCCTCTCAACACGACCATTCAGTGGATACAGTGCTGGTCGGCGCTTGTATCAAGGTCAACCCTCAAATACAGCACGTGGACGCACAATTCATGGTCTATCATCAGATGCAGTGCTCAGACATGATGCGCACGGATCAGATACGGCGTGCTTACTACCCATAGAGGGTGAGTGAAAAAGAAACGGAGGCGGTTGGAAAGAAGGAGAGAGAGAGAAGAGAAGAGAGAGAAGAAAAGAGGAGGGAAGAGAAGGGAAGAGAAAAGGGAAAGTGAGGTGCAGAAAAGAGAACGACCTTATGGGACAGGCGACCAGGTGAATTCCAGACCCCCTCTTCCCAGCCAGTCTTGCCCCTCCCTTTCCTTACCTCTCCCTTTGCTTGCCTCCTGCTTGACTCTCTTGCCTCCTGCTCTGAGCTCCCCTCATGCTCCTGCTGGCACGTCGCTATTCTTTGGCCCGCCTTCCGCTCCTTGTCGTTCTGCCAAGGCTGCAGCGCTCCCGCAAGTGAGGGTTCTCTCACACTGTCTTATCCGTGCCACGTGTGTCCCTCGCACACTGATCTGTCCTCTTTGGTGGCGTGGCCTCTCTTTTATAATGGAGAGGCCAGGTGATCGGGGCTGAGTGTTGCAGTCCCATGGTCGAGGCTATGGTCAAACTCTAGACCGGGCCTGTGCTAAAAATAGCAGCAGTCCCGACCTCGGGATATGAACAGTCAGTCCCATGCTAAAAATACCGTGGGGCTGTGCTAATTTTAGAACGGGACTGGCACAGGCCCCGTCCTCGGTAGACGAACAGTCAGTCCCACGCTAAAAATAGCATGGGGCTGTGCTAATTTTAGAACGGGACTGGCGCAGGCCCAGTCCCCGGTAGACGAACAGTCAGTCCCACGCTAAAAATAGCGTGGGACTGTGCTAATTTTAGAACGGGACTGGTGTAGTCCCGACTTTGGGAGACGAACAGTCAATCCCGTGCTAAAAATAGCACACGACCCTATCTTTAATTGTTCGGGCCTGGCTGTTCATCTATATGACTTCTTAGGGCTATCCCTCTTCTAGCCAAATTATGCAGCCAAGTCGGTCCGGTCCCAACCGGTCAAACTTGAATATCTCACTAACCCTTGGTCCGTTTCAGGTGCCGTTTGGACCAGACCCCACTAATTGGCCCATTGCGGTTGCGTCGGTCCAGTCCAACGGGGACGATTTAGGTCTTCGGGGGACCATACCGCCGCGCCGTCTTTCCTTTGATCTCGGCCTAGGGAAAATTTAATCGATTCGTTAGGGTCCAGCTTGACCATGACCGTGGACGTCCCTAGGCGCGATTTTGACGCAGCGCAGGGTTTGACCACGGCGAGTCATTTTCCACTGCTGCGTCGCACCGTCTTTCGACAACGGGGACACACTCGCGACAGGT